CTAAACAATAGAAAAATTAGCCAGGCATGTGGCAGGTGCCTGTAGTCACAGCTACTCAGGAGGCTGGGGTAGGAGGATCACTTGAGCCCAGGAGTTTGAGGTTGCTGTGAGCTATGATGATGCTACAATCTGCCTAGGTGGTAGAGTGAGACGGAGGAGGGGGAGAAAATGTCTGAACTTCCTCAAAAAGTAAAAAGAAGAAGGAACCAAATATATACAGAAGTTACTCTTTCAAAGGAAAAGACCTAGATTCTAGAATATCTGCAACTTTATGGAAACACCAAGTTACAGATAGCATAAAACTCTTAATATGGATGGGTGGCCCCTATGGCTCAAAGGAGTAGGGCGCTGGCCCCATATGCCAGAGGTAGCAGGTTGAAACCCAGCCCCAGCCAAAAACTGCAAAGAACAAACAAACAAACAAAAAACCTCTTAATATGGAAAGATTAGCCTTAGCAGTGAAATAAGCACAAAGCTTATTCATTGAGAGGGACTCAATGAATGTGTGCTGAATGGATCATATATAATATGTGAACAGCTGAGGGGTGGGCTTTAAAAACATCAGTGAACTCAAATGGAAAAAAAAGATTAGCTCAACTTAGTATCATGTAAACAAGAGAACTAATTGCTTTACTACATATTTTTTGCCTTAAAACTGTTGGGACAAAGGTTTGTATAAACAAGGACTAAAATCTAAGTAAATTATTTCACTGTATGAAACCATTTTGTTATCAAAAGAACGTATCGGGAACACACATGAGGAAGAGATACTTCTTGAGATCATTTCGTGTTTTTCACATTGAGCAGTCAAAATTACGCTTGAAGTAATGAAATCATCACAATACCCCTGAAAGATGGATTTCCTAATAATAAAACAAAATTAACATTTATTGAGGATAAGTAGTTTATGTATAGTCATTTCATCCTAAACAACAATTTTATTTTGAAAGCACTAGTGTCATCTTCATTTTACAGGTAAAGAAACAGATGACAGGAAAAATGAGACTCCAACCAGACCTAAGTCATAGGGTCTATGAGTCTGGAAATCATAAGAAATCGTCCTGCTCCAGAAGAAACACAAGGGATCTTTCTGAGCTTTCCCCCTAATGCTCCCTCCCTCTCCCCGGCTTTTTTATTCTTCTCTCCTGTACTCCACTGATAATGTTCCAAAGCAAAATGTTCAAAAGTTCCCTGAGCATTACTTTCCCTTGGATTATTTAAACCTTCCACAAATTGATTTAGAAGATATATGTTTTGATCAACCATAACGTCTCTCAAAGTCTCTCACTGTCTCTATATCCTAACTCAGCTGGGATGCAGGCTTACATCAACATTGAAAACTGCCCAAAGAAAACCAGAAATCCCAAGAAAATGACCGTTGAGCAAAGGCGGCACATTAAGAGATGGGAATACTTCATTGCTGCGGAAGAAGTCATTTGGGACTATGCACCTGTAATACCAGCAAATATGGACAAGTGAGTTGTCGGGGTTCATAGCACTGTGCAGGGGTCCCATACATGGTCCACAGGGGCCCAGATATAAAAGGGTGAAATGTCATGAGTGGACAGCTCTCAAAGGGACACACATGTTAGTTTCCATTCAAGCCTTCTTATCCAAATTAATCCCAAACTCATGAAGTGAATTCAACTTAATAATAATAATAATAATAACAACAGCACCTATCACTTGTTAAATGCTTGCTGTTGCCAAGCACTGTATTAAACCAAACCCTTTCTAAGAGCTTCACTTTAGCTCTGCAAATTAGATACTGCCCTTTTTTTTTTTTT